CCAGCCAGATAAAAGATTTTAATGGTCCACATTACAGAGGCAACATATTAAAAGGATGATGAGGTGAACATCTAGACACTAGCTGGTGGTCTTGCTGTTCTAAAAGGCAGTGGGTCCTAGGCCGGGCACGGTGACTCACACCTGTAATCCCAGCACATTGGGAGGTCAGGCGGATCACCTGAGGTCAGGAGTTCCAGACCAACCTGGCCAACATGGTGCAACCCTGTCTCTACTAAAATACAAAAATCAACCAGGCATGGTGACTCGTGCCTGTATTCCCAGCTACAAAGAGGGCCGAGACACATGAATTGTTTGAACCTGGGAGGCAGAGGTTGCAGTGAGCCGAGATTGTGCCACTGGACTCCAGCCTGGGTGACAGAACGAGACTGTCTAAAAAACAAAAACCAAACAAAACAAGTCTGTGGAGCAGCTTCTCTTCTAGCGGAGTGAATTCCTATGACACACCCAGGAGGGTCACAAGGTACCCAAGAATTTTTTTTTTTTGAGACTAAGTCTCGCTGTTGTTGCCCAGGCTAGAGTGTCATGGTGTGATCTTAGCTCACTGCAACCTCCGCCTCCCGGGTTTAAGCAATTCTCCTGCCTCAGCCTCCCGGTACCCAAGAATTTTATACCTTCAGAAGCACTGCCAATTTGGATTCAAAGGTATGAGGAGAATATGACAGGAAGGAGGGCTGGTGAGCTCCCCAATCTGCAAGTAGGAATTAAACGGACAAACCACTCAGCTGTAACCACATGCAACGCTTCATGAAAAACAAAGGATATCTCTGAAGGTGAAGCAATGAGCCCAGATGGCAGAGCTTCTAGCCCAGAAGGCTGAGCCAAACCACAGGATTATTCCCAGTCCTTAAAACCTAATTTTGTTTGCCCAGTTGTAGTCAAATGTCTTGGGACTGGCACCTCATTTTTTTTTTTTACTTCCTTTTTGCCCCCATTAGAATAATGTCTATAACTGGTATCCTATGCCTGTCCCACTCTTGGTTTTGGGGAGCAGGTCATTTTTTCCTAGTTTCATAGATCTACAGAAGGAGAGCAATGTTTCACTGAATGGATTACACCCAGACTCTCACCCACGCTTGCTGTAGATTATTTGGATGATGTGATTTGGGAATTCTGAGCTGATGAGCTTTAGATGAGGTTTTTCACTTTGAATTGATGATATAATTGTTTGAGACTTTGGGGGATGTTGGGACAGGATGAATACATTTTCATTCCATGAGGGATATATATGAATGTCTGGGATCTAGAGGACACACTGCGGTGGGCAAATAATGCCACTCCCCCCACCCCACAAAGATATATGTGTTCAAATTCCTATAATTATGAGTGTGCTATTTTACATGGCAAAAGGATCTTTGCAGATATGATTAATATAAGGATTTTGAGACAGGGAGATTATCATGGATTACCCAGGTGAGTCCAATGTAATTACAAGAGTTCTTATAAGGCAAGCTTGTCCAACTGGTGGCCCACCAGCTGCATGTGGCCTAGGACAGCTTTGAATGTGGCCCAACACGAATTCGTAAACTTTTTAAAAACATTATGAGATTGTTTTTGCAATTTTTTTTTTAGCTCATTAGCTATCGTTAGTATTAGTGTATTTTATGTGTGGCCCAAGACAATTCTTCTTCTTCCAATGTGGCCCAGGGAAACCAAAAGATTTGACACCCCTGTTATAAAGGAGAGAAGATCGTAGGAGAGTTAAAGAATTAATGATGGAAGAAGAAATTAGAGCGATGTGATTGCCTGTTGGAAGGGGGCTATGAGCCAGGGATGTGGGTAGCCTTCAGAAGCTGGAAAGGGCAAGAAAAAGGATTGTTCCCTAGAGCCTTCAGAAGAAATGCAGCTCACCCACACCTTGATTTTATTTTAATGAGATCCAGTTTGGACTTCTGATCTCCAGAACTATGGGATAATACTTTGTGTCATTTTAAGCCACTAAGTTTGTTGTAGTTTGTTAAAGCAGCGATAGGAAACTGAAACGACCATGACAGGTGCTCAGAAGAACTCCAGGAGGCATGAAAGGAGGATGTTAACACCTTTACATTGCAGGTGTTCCTGGGGGGCACTAATGAGAGAGCCTGCTGTACTGCAACTTGGATAGATTCTGGAGCCTTCTGTTACAGGGGATCCTATGCAATGTGGGCTGATTTTCAAGTAATAAACATGAGTGGACCTGAGTAAAATTTATAAATAAGGAATATATTGTCTTTAAAATGCAAAAAGGCCTAAAAGATGTTGGGCTTGTAACACTATGGACACAGGGAGGCTCGATAGCTGTTTTTTAGTAGTATGGGGGATGGAGAGGCCTTCAACTAACCAAATGATCCTTTGGAGTTTAAGTGAGGGACTGGGTCTGATACTCTGCATGGGACAATGGCTTATCCCCTTTATGAGCTTCTTTTTGAATGTTTCTGTGTCTTAAATGAGTGTGGCGAATGAATCTCCTCAGAGGAGGACACTCTCAATGTAATGTTATATCTGTACTCCTGGAGAAAGCTGGAAGCAGTGGCTCTTGCTGGCAAAGATTGTGGGCAATAGTAGGGCTGTTGCAGTACACTGTGGGTAGCCATGCATTGTGTTTCTTCCAAGGTAAAGACGCACTGTGGCTGAGAGGCTGTAAAAATCAGCATGGAAGAGAACATTCTAGCCAAGTCTATGACTGCAGAGTATTTGCCAGTAGATACTTGGATAGAGTCTTTCATTTCAGTTAAGTTGAGTATGAGAACCTTAATATGTGGGACTATGTGTTAATATACCCCAATCCTCACACAAAATCTGATTTGGATGTGATGAAGGCACACATGTATTAAGAAGATATGAGAGGTTTATGACTCATAGGGTGAGGTTTTTTTTTCTTTTTTTCAGAATAGCAGGACAGGCTGCCAGGCAAATCTGAAAAATGGCTTTAGAGAGCAGGGAGGGATGACTGGCTTGAGTTTTTACTGTGAGGAGAGGTAGGATGAGCTGAGGATTTCCCTTCATTGTCCTGACTTGCATGGATTGAAACTCCTACCAGGGATAACAGAGAAGGTATGTGCGGGTTTTCTTACCAATTTGCTCAGATGAAGCATGGGGTTGGGAAGGGGAAATGGGGCTTGACATTTGTCAAGAGGCAAACAGTGAAAATGGAGTCAGACTTCTTATTACACGTGGGTAATGAAGAAGGGGCCAAGCTGGCTAGTCGGGATGTAGGGGACTACTCTTTCAATGAAGTCTTTTAGTATTTTTTGACTGAATTTAAAAATTATTTGCATGTATCACTTTAAATAATAAAAATGATTGTTTTTGTAAAACGGAAAGAACAGAGACTCTGGAATCAAACAAATGTGTACTGTATTTAAATACAAATTATACCAATGGCTCACACCTGTAATCCCAGTGGTGTTTAAGGGAGCTGAGACTGCAATGAGCTAGGATTGTGCTATTGCACTCCAGCCTAGATGACAGAGCAAGACTCTGTCTCAAAAATAAATAAATGCATACATTAAAAATACTTAAAGAAGCAATCATTCAAATACGTACATAATTTTTGAAATAAGTTTTGATATTGTTATGCTAATGTTACTCTTTTGCGCAGCATATTTTACTTTTTTTAAACCCGTTGCTGTTTTCTTAGATTTTAAAAAGGAGGAAAAATCGTATCAAGTTATCAGTTGGCTTGCACCTGAAGATCATCAAAGAGAATTTAAGAAGAGTTTTGATTTATTTCTGGAAGAAACTTTAGGTGGCAGGTAATGTTTCTTTTTATTCTTTGAACCAAAGGGTCACTATTTTCATCATACAAATAATGGATGTATGCATGGATACTTGGATTTTATTTTAATGAGATTTTATTTTAATAAGAGAAAGTGACAAATGGATGGATGAATGGATTGATAGATGGAGAGGCAGATGATAAGGGGAGTAGATGAGTACTACATACTACATCATCCAGTAAAGTCCCTGGACATTCTTCTTTATACTCTCTTTCTTACACTATAAGCATGAATGCTTTTCTGCAGAAAGTGGGAAATTGTTTCTTCTGGGACTTCCTTGCGACACTTCACCTACAATCATTGCCTGTAATATCCCCGACACAGAAATTGGGATAGACTCCTCCACTTTTCACTGTTGGTGGGAAAATTAGAGTCACCTTTTCCCACTTACTGTCTTCCCTTCTTCTCACATATATTCATAAATAAAGGGAAGGCTTATGAACATTGGGTTTGTAGAAGTTGAACATACAGTCATGCAAAGTTCTTTAAAAAAGCAATCAACCTGGTACAAATGAAACATGAAACTGACTCCTTTTGCTTAATCTGGATGGGAAGAAACACATAACTTTTTGATCTCAGACATAAAAGAGGAAACACAGAAATCCATGTCTATCTTGGTTAATCTCCGTGGCCTTACCTACTCTTGTTTTCTTGAAAATTCTACTCAATAGTCAACATAGTGCTTAAATCTGACTTCTTCCATAAAGCCTCCCTCCTCACCCAAGCTGGAACACCACATTCTCTCCTCTATACGTCTGATCTAATCCACCCATTTGACACTTAGCCTATATCATCTTGCAGAGTTAGTTATATATTTTAAGCATATGCCTTGTCTCTTCTTATCTAGTTTCATATTTTAAAGGACAGGTATGGTTAAGAGTGCATTCTTAAAATATTTTAATTTATTAGCTTAATTTTAAATACGATTAATGAACTACAGTCTAAAAATTTTTACTACATGACTGGCTTTTTTTTTTTTTGAGATGGAGTTTTGCTTTTGTCGCCCCGGCTGGAGTGCAATGGCGCGATCTCGGCTCACTGCAACCTCTGCCTCCAGGGTTCAAGCGATTCTCCTGCCTCAGCCTCCCAAGTAGCTGGGATTACAGGAGTGTGCCACCATGCCCAGCTAAGTTTTGTATTAGTAGTAGTGATGGGGTTTCACCATATTCGCCAGGCTGGTCCCAAACTCCTAACCTCGGGTGATCTACCCTCCTCGACCTCCCAAAGTGCTGGGATACAGGCGTGAGCCACTGCACCCAGTTCATTACTGAAATTTTCAAAAATGTTTGGCAACTTTTCCTTTATTATATGAATCTTTAAAAATATACAACAGAGGATGGCTTCAGTCAGTCTGCATATCACTAGTGAGAGACCTTCTCTAACTGGAGGGCAATGGTACGGTGGTGTACAGGTTACAGGTGTGTCAGGGAATTGATTCTCTCAGTCTTCCATACAGCCAGTAGGTCTCTGATATCTAGAGCTCTTGCACCTATTGCAGCTGGCCTAGGCATCCTCATCTATTTCCCCCAAATTCTGTAAAATAGGATCATATTCTATGCAGGCATTATTGGGAATATGTTGCAAAAGAATCGTCCCTTTGCATATGTCAGTAAAGCTTTGACATTATCTTACCTGAATACCCCAGCCTGCATTGAGGTGGAAAGAAATAATAATAATAAATAATTAAAAATAATAATGTAAATAAGTAAACGAATATGTAAATAAATATATAAAAATATGTAAATGAAAATAAATGAAAGTAAATAATAAAGAAAGAAAGAATAATAAAGGAAAAAGCAATGCGTTTCAAAAACCAGGTTCCTTTTGTTTTTATTTTTTTCCATTGCTTAACTCCTAGGGATAAAAAGGTGGAATTCTCATTTTCAGCTGAGATATTCGGTTGTAATATAATCAAAGAGTAACTAGACTGAGGCAATCTCTCGTATGCAAGCACACAGTGCTAAAACATAGCACATATAATCAATACTGATAAACTCTTTCGTCAAGTTACTTACACAATTTGGTTGGATAAATAAGAAAATCACTCGTAAACACTCCGTATGTAAATGAGGGGTAAATAGAGTGTCACCTAATTTATCAAGGAGACGGAACTCTGAGATCTGCTGCTCTGAGAGATGGCTCCCAGAGTAGAAGGACCTTGAGTCGGCATTGATGGTGGTTGGGGTTTGGATAAGGGTAGAAAAGGGGAAGGGAGAAGGGTAACTCTAGGGAGTAGAAACATTTAAGCCAGGATAATTATGGCAGAGGGCATTTGTGGGAAACTGGTTGAATTTGTGGGTGACTGCTAGAAAGGTTGTTGCTTCCCTGGGATATTTTCTTTGTATCTCAAGATACTTTTATGTACTGTAAATTTAACACTTCCCATGAATATTTATTATTATTTTTTCTTACAGAGGAAATTTTGAAAACTTATTAAAAGTTCTAGAATACTTGGCGTTGCAGTGCAGTCATTTTTTAAGGAGAAAGGATATCATGGATTCCTTAAAGAATGAGAACTTCGACATGGTGATAGTTGAAACTTTTGACTACTGTCCTTTCTTGATTGCTGAGAAGCTCAGTAAGCCATTTGTGGCCATTCTTTCCACCTCATTCGGCTCTTTGGAATTTGGGCTACCAATCCCCTTGTCTTATGTTCCAGTATTCCGTTCCTTGCTGACCGATCACATGGACTTCTGGGGCCGAGTGAAGAATTTTCTGATGTTCTTTAGTTTCTGCAGGAGGCAATGGCACATGCAGTCTACATTTGACAACGCCATCAAGGAGCATTTCCCAGAAGGCTCTAGGCCAGTTTTGTCTCATCTTCTACTGAAAGCAGAGTTGTGGTTCATTAACTCTGACTTTGCCTTTGATTTTGCTCGACCTCTGCTTCCCAACACTGTTTATGTTGGAGGCTTGATGGAAAAACCTATTAAACCAGTACCACAAGTAAGTGACCCTCAGCATTCAGTTTGGGATTCACACAGAGGCCTTCAGTGCATAGTTAATGGCTGCCACCTGCCAGTAGGATCCTGAGGCTGAAGTAGGGATAGGCAAGGGAGGCACCTAGGGCATGCTTTTAAAGGAAGTGATGAGTTTCAGGGTTGTGCAAGTATAATGTTAGGCCTTGCACCATCCTGAGATCAAGGGCATCTTTGTGTGGGTTCCTCTGGCTCCTCTCTTGCCACACCCTAGTCCTAGCCTTGATAAAATAAGCCATGTATTAAAGTTTCAATTTTTTGTTTGCATTTTTATTTTGCATGATCATGTGTACAATAAACATGTAGTTAGTGCCCATTACATGCAATAATTGTTAAGGAGATAAGATACAGTGAAATGACAACACTATGGATTCGCAGTAAGCAGGGTGGGACTGCATGGGACCGACAGCAAGAACTGCGGGTAGTATCTCCAGTGTTCCCTGCCTGTAGAGCCCTGGCTCCTGGCTCCACCCAGATCTTCTGACTTGATTTCTCTGGGGTGGACCCCTGCTACTGTAATTTGCAAATGCTGCCCAGGTGATTTGAATGCACAGCACAGTTTCACAACTCTGCTACAGAAATTTTTCTAAGGGAGGAGAGCTAGGAATGAGTTGGCTGCCTGTTGCCTCTGAGCACTGGGTTCCCATTTTACAGAAGTCATCTTATTTAATATCCTTCCATCTGTATGGAGGTGTGATCATCTTCATTTTTATAAATGGAGGAGGACAGAAGCTCAGGTGATGTAGGTGACCGTCCCACCACCATGTATTTCAGAGGCCCTGAGAGCCTGGGCTTTCCAGTCACCCAAGTGTCCACTTTTCTAACTTTCATTGAGTGAGCAGGAAGAGGTGGGGAATGATCTATAGGTGATATGGGCTTTGCATGGGTGGCAGGAAGTTTTAGGAATGGAGCTGAGAGGGAAAGCACCCCAGGTTGGGGAGCAGGGGTCCCAATATGTGGAGATGTAATTGAGATGGCAATAAGACTGGGTTCCCTGGGTGGCGCTGGCTACACTAGTGGAGTGGAATATTCAATTGCATGAGTAAAACTGTGGGGATTTACCAGAAATCTTAGCTCACAGGTGGGTGGATCAGGCCTCCACCATGGAATAGGGAGAGGACGTTGTTAAGAGGATAACAATGGGAATAAGGGTTGTAATGACTGTGAAACAACATACACTAAAAAAAAAAAATGTTTCTTCTCTGCATTTTCCAATTTTTATATAATGGTCTTATGTTGCCTTGTAATTACAAAAATGATGACAAGGCTGTTTTAAAGAAGTCCTTAGGAATGGTAAGTGGTATGCTGGCTGGAATCCAGTAGAGTCTGAACCACATAGTAGAATGATGGGTTGGGAGGTGGAGTGAGCACTTGTAGGGCAGAGAGAATCAGACAGAGTTCAAAGAAATATTTGGAAGTAAGAATTGACAAAATTGTGCTAAACACAAAATTAAGACATTGGATACTGTGAGCCCAAAATATATAACACTGGTCTCACCAATTTAGAAACTTTATTTGCCAAGGTTGAGGATGCATCCATGACAGCTTCAGGAGGTCCTGACAACATGTGCCCAAGGTGATTGGGGCACAGGCTGGTTTTATACATTTTAGGGAGATGTGAGACACCAATCAATATGTTTAAGGTAAACATTGGTTTGGTCCGGAAAAGCAGGAGAGGGGTATTCTAGGTCATAGGTAGACAAGAGACAAACAATTGCATTTTGTTTGAGTCTCTGATTAGCTTTTCACTGAGTGCACAATTTACAGAAACAGTCACTTATACCTTAGTCTGGGTTAGTGAAACAATAGGGCAGAGGAATCAAGCCAAAATACATTTGTCTCAGGCGAGCAGACGGATGCTTTTGAGTTCTGTCTGCTCTTTGTCCACAAGGAATTTTCTTGTGGGCAAATGGTGAGGGGGGTATGCAGCTTTTTTTTTTTTTTTAAATCTTTTTGGCTGTGGCTATCCTATTTAGGAACGGAATGGGAGGCAATTTTGCCCAATGCAGTTCCCAGCTTGACTTTTCTCTTTGGCTTAGATTTGGGGATCCTGAGATTTATTTTCCTTTCACAACACTAACTTTGTTAAGAACTACCTGGGGGACTTTATGATACAAGCTGCCCAGGCCTGCTTTTGGGACAGAGCATTACTGCTTTATTTATTTTTTTTTAAATCTACCACATCAAGGCATTGATCACTTCTTTATGTTACAAACATCCCAATTATATTCTTTTAATTACTTGAAAATGTACTATAAATTATTGTTGACTGTAGTCACCCTGTTGTGCTATCAAACACTGGACCTTATACATTCTAACTATATTTTTGTACCATTAACTATACCACTTCCCCATCCCAGCCTCTGGTAACAGTCATTCTACTCTCTATCTCCATGAGTTTAATTGTTTTAATTTTTAGCTCCCACAAATGAGTGAGAACATGCGGTTTGTCTTTCTGTGTCCGGCTTAGTTCACTTAACATAACATACTCTAGTTTCATCCATATTGTTGCAAATGACAGGATCCCTTTCTTTTTGTGGCTGATGAGTTCTCCATTATGTACATATACTATATTTTCTTTATCCATTCATCTGATGTTGGACATTTAGATTAATTCTGTATCTTGGCTACAGCGAATAGTGCAGCAATAAACACGGAAGTGCAGGTATCTCTTCAGTATAGTGACTTCTTTTCTTTTGGGTATATACCTAGCAGTGAGATTGCTGAATCATATGGCAGTTCTAGTTTTAGATTTTTGATGAACCTCTAAACTGCTTTCCATAGTGGTTGTACTGATTTAAATTCCCACAAACAGTGTGCAAGTTTTCTTTCTCCACATCCTTGTTATTGCCTGTCTTTTGGATGAAAGCCATTTTAACTGGGGTGAGATAATATCTCATTGTAGTTTGATTTGCATTTCTGCGGTAATCAGTGATGTTGAGCAAACCTTTTATATGCCTGTTTGTCATTTGTATGTCTTTTGAAAAATGTCCATTCAGATCTTTTATTTTTTAATCAGGTTATTAGATTTTTTTTTTCTCACAGAGTTGTTTGAGCTTTTATGTATTCTGGTTATTAATCCTTTGTCAGAAGAAGAATTTGCACATATTTTTTCCCATTCCGTGGGTTATCTCTTTGCTTTATTGATAGTTTCCTTTGTTGTATAGAAGCCTTCTAACTTGATGTGATCTCATTTGTCCATTTTTCCCTTGGTTGCCTGTATTACGCAAGAAAAATAAGTGCACCCAGATCAACATCCTGGAGCATTTCCCCAATGTTTTCTTTTAGTAGTTTAATAGCTTGAGGTCTTAGATTTCAGTCTTTTTCTTTTCTTTTCTTTTCTTTTTTTTTTTTTTTGAGACTGAGTTTTGCTCGTGTTGCCCAGGCTGGAGTGCAATGGTGCAATCTTGGCTCACTGCAACCTCTGCCTCCTGGATTCAAGCGATTATCCTGCCTCAGCCTCCCGAGCAGCTGGGATTGCAGGCGCCCACCTAATTTTTTGTATTCTCAGTAGAGACAGGGTTTCACCAAGTTGGCCGGGCTGGTCTCGAACTCCTGACCTCAGGCGATCCACCAGCCTCGGCCTCTCAAAGTGTTAGATTTAAGTCTTTTATTCCATTTTGATTTGATTTTTGTATATGATGAGATATAGGGGTCTAGTTTTATTCTTCTGCATATTCATATCTAGTTTTTTTTTTAGCACCATTCATTGAAGAGACTGTCCTTATGTTCTTGGCACCCTTGTCAAAAATAAGTTCACC